CCTTGCTGCCTTGGGGGTCGGCTCCTGAAGGCCGGCTACTGGGGTGAGGGCGGCCCTGACTCGGGGTCCCAAGGGGTCAGCTCTGGCCACAGCCCTCTGCAACTCCTGGACCTTGGCCCTCCAACCCGGAGGACACCCCCCCTCCCTGGCTTAGGGGAGTTTGGCGCCGCGGGGAGCAGGACAGGGATCCACAGCCTCGCTCCAGGGTCTTCGTGACATACCCCCAACCTGCCGGTCCTGGCTTTCCTGTTCGCCCAGCGGCCCTTCCCCGTGATGGGCCGGCTGATAGCCCTGCCTCCAGCTATTTCTGGGCCATTTCCAGCCCCTCGACCAACACCGCACCTAACAAAACCCCTGCGGGGGGGGTGGGGGGACGGCTTATTTCCCAGCAGGGAGCTGCAGACCCGCCGGCTCACGCCCCAGCACCCTGTCAAGTGTCTGGCTAATCTGAATTGCTGAAAAGAATTTTCCAAGTCGCTGGTGATTACAGGTGTCCCCGGCCAGCACGGCCACCTCTTGTGCATTCCAGAGAGGAGCCAGCCCTTAGTCCCACTGGCGGAAACGGTCAGTCCCCTGGCAAGAGGCTAGCCTGTCACAATTAAACCTGATTAAGTTATTCTGTGTTTGAAAGCGTCGCTCCGGCTGGCGCTGGCGGGCTAGGGTTTGTGGACGGATGGAGGGGATGAAGCAGAGCCTGCACGTCTGCCTCTTCCTGTCCCGTCCGGGGAAGCGCTAATGGATTCCACATTGCGGGCCGGGCCAGCGTGTCCTCCACCCATGTCGTCAGCCTTGCACTGACCTCGCTCGCGGCTCCCGCTGGGGTGACTGGAGCTTGTTTTCCTCAGAACTTGGACTCTTCCCTGCGGATGAGACAAACACCTTCTCTAGGAGAAGCGTGCGACCTACACCCTCGGGTCACCGGCCTCCGAGTGTCAGTGTGACAGACCAGAGGCCGAGGCCGGAGCAGAAAAGGGAAAGGCAGGTCGAGCCTCCCAGCCCGACCCTGGGCCTCTGTGGGATGTTCCTGCCTCTCGTCCTCGGAAAGAGTCCGCCCCATCTTGACCAACAGGCTGCGCTCGGCCTGGGGGGGTTGGGAAGGAAGGTGGCAAGGGAACAAGTGACCGTCCGGGGCTGCTCTGCAAACGGCCACAGAGCGAGCAAAGCTTCCTGATAAAACAGACCAGCGCCCGTGTGTCCTGGGCCTGCTTGGGCCTCAGAGGAGCTGGCGGACAGGCGGGAGCCAGTCTCCTTCATTCGCCTGGAAACTGCTGGAAGGAGGAGGGCGCTTGCTCGCCAGGCCCTGGGAGCCGACGAGCAGGCGTGTGTCTATAATTTTTTATTTCTTTTTTATGAAAACAGAATTGCATTAGCTTTAGATGTTACAGAACCTAGACCACCCCAGCGCAAAATAGCAACTCATGTCCTCGCTGGAGATCTCAATGGTTAGAGCGTTGGCCCTCGGACTGAAGGGTCTCAGGTTCGGTTCCCGGCCCCCGTTGGGGTGTGTGGGAGGCGGCCGATCGGTGTGTCTCTCTCACATTGATTTTCCCTCCCTCCTCTCCCCCCCTCATCTATCCCTGCCTTCCGCTCTCTCTGGAAATCGGAGAAAATGTCAAAACAAAAAAATGGCAGTCCACTCCCCGCTGTTCCTGGGCCCCTTAGGCTCCAGGGTTTACTTCACGGCTCGGGCTGTTGCTTTAGCTGCGCTGTCGGCGGCGCATTCACCACCACACACATCTCGAGGCCGAGGCTTCTGGCCACAAGCCACCACAGGGTGTGGTTGGACCCTGGGGCTCTGCCTGGAGGAGGCGGCGGGGGGAGGGGAGTGTTTGTGGAGGGTCAGGCCCTTTGAGGGGGTGTCCGGGCGCGGCTGGCGGTGTGGGAAGCAGGCTCGTGCCTGTGATGCGGGGGCAAAGCCGGGCTCGTGCCCTGCGTGCGCTCTGCGATGCTCTGCTGTGAGTCTACACCAAGCCTTTGGCAGGCGCTGGGCGCTGAGGGGAGCCGTGGCCAGCACGGGCTCCCTGGGGTCTGACGGGGCCTGTCACGCTCCTCGCTCCTGGGGAAGAAGTGAAGCCTCAGGCCTCCTCACTCCCATGCAGCCTCCGCACTGGAGGCCAGAGAGCCCTGTGCGCATCCGTGAGACACCTGGGCACGCGCTGCCGTGTGAGTGTGAGCAGCAGGCTGCAGCGCAGGGGGTGCCCCCCCCAGCCTCTCCCACCACCCGTGGAGCCGGAAGGGAGCGGGGACTGAGGGTGTTGGCTTCCACTGAGTTTAGTGCTTGACATTTGTCACAATGCCGCCAGGTCCTTACTGGGACCTGGACACTGTTTCTAGAAGCTTCTAGAAAATAAGCTTTTCTTCTCTGGCCTCCGTGCTCTCGTCTCTGGTGAGGGCACAGGCACTGAAGTGGGTGCCATCCTCGCTGATGTGGTGTCGAGCTCCGTATTTGTGCTGTGGAGATGCCCGCTCTGCCACGCCTCCTGCTCCGCCAGGGCCCCAGGCGAGCCCGTGCACTCTTAGAACCAGCCTGGGTGCACTGGGATGATGGCCGGGAGCACTGGGTGCACTGGGATGACAGCTGGGAGCACTGGGATGACGGCTGGGAGCACTGGGAGCACTGAGATGATGGCTGGGAGCACTGAGTGCACTCGGATGACGGCTGGCTGACACATCAGAGCTCCCAGGAGTGTGCACCGACCCCTCCAAGAGCAGCTGTGGCCTGACCGCAGCCTGAGTGCCAGGCTGGACGCAGTGGGAGGACTGCATACATTCCCGTCGTGCCTCCGGGTCTGGGAGAGCCCTGTTGTGTCGCTGTGGTCACATGGACATCCCAGTGTTGCCGTCCAGGGCCGCAGCTCCTCTCAGCCGGGCCGTCACTGTTGCTCTCCTCGCCCGCCCCGTCCCAGCTGTGGTGTGGGAGAGGGAGGCCGGGCGTTTCCCACTCCTGCGCTTTACACCTTCTCTGTGGGGCCACGTGGTGGGCGGGGGCCGCCTCGGGAGACAGGCCACGGCCCTGCACACGGCCTGGCCGCTGTGTCCCACTGCCCCCGGTGTGCGGAGCCCAGCACTTGCCG